TGACATATTAAATCACGTGATTTAATATTAAGTTATTTTTTCATGTAAAACCAATGATCACGATAATAAAAAAATCAGCCCCCCGAAGGAATCAACTGCACACACGATTTTTTTCTAAGGCAAAACCAGACCCAAAGAAGGTTCTGGAAGGAAGGGGAAGCCCCACAGACAAAGATGTGTCAGTGCAGACCCCCTGCCCTTCACCAGGCACAGCAGAGCTGGAGCCCAACACCCTGTCCTTGGGGCAGCCAAAGGCCACGGATTCCTCACCCAAAGGCCACGGATCCCGCTGCTCCAGGGACAGCAGGAAATGCTTTTGGTGCTGCTGGGATGCAGGGCAGGGAAGCCTTTGTGTTTTATAGGTCAGAGCCCTTCGGAAAAAGCCCGGCAGCTGAGCTCAGAGCAGCTCTGGAGGTTCACTTGGTTGCAGACGGGCCAAGTCCAACCTATTTCAGGGCTCAGAGAAAGGACACCAAGTGCCAGAAAAGAGAAGAGAAACCCCGGGCAGGATTTCAGGGGGAAAAGGGGACATTTGGGTGCAGTCAGGGGTGGCTGCAGTTTTAGGGGAACAGAAGGATACATCCACTCAAACAGCATCATGAAGCTGGTCTTGGCGTTGAAGGCAAAGGCAATTCCCCTCAAATCTCTCACCAAACCCACCAAAGTTCTCTGTGTGGAGAAAGGAAAGGTGTTAAAATAAAATACAGGCACGGAGCAATCCCTGCCTGGCTCCACTTCCCTCCCTCCCATCCCAAAAGCAATCCCTGCCTGGCTCCACTTCCCTCCCTCCCATCCCAACAGCAATTCCTGCCTGGCTCCACTTCCCTCCCTCCCATCCCAACAGCAATTCCTGCCTGTGCTGGAGCCCAGTCCCAGCCTGGACAGTCCTTCCTCTCCAGTGCCAGGAGCTGGGACACCACTGGGATATTTCATTCCCAGCAGAGGGAATGCTGGCAGGTGAGTCTCCCTGCTCCAATCCCAAACCAGGCCTGATCCCGAGGGATACAGGCCATCCCTCCTTCCCCTTCCCCCTGGAAGGGAGGCTCCCACCACTCCAGCTTGTATTTCAGAGGGGAGAGCAGCTCCCACTCTGCACAAATGACTGCTCTCTCCTGCCCCTCTGAAAACATCCAGGTCCCTAAGGAAAACAGCAGGGAGAACATGGATAACAGGGATAACAGGGAATGTCCCGACTTACTTTTGCCTCTTGTTCGTTGAAGGTGTTTGTGCTGAACATCTGGGCCACAGTCTCAAAGGCAGCAGTGAGGGGAAGCATGAACTGCTCGTACTGATCCTCATCTTCCCCTGAGAGGGGGAAAAAACCCAGGAATTTAGGAGAAAATAAATGGCACATCCCTGTGTCCTGTGCCAGACACTCCCCCGGAGGCAGAGGGACCAGAGGTCTCCAGCCAGGTGATCCGTCACTGCCAAAATCCGACTGACAAGTGGCTTAGAACAAACTGGGCCATGCCAGGAAAACATGTGGGATATCAGGATGGAAAAATTCAGCTCCAGGTTTGGTGGCCTGTGCCCGGCAACGTGGCATCAAACCCACCCTCGAGCTTCCTTCCCTTCCTTTTTCTTTCGTGGGGGTTTTCCAACTCCAGCCTCCTTTCCTGGAGGGGCTTACAGCTCCCTAAACCAGCAGGGCCCAGCTTCCAAAGCCCAGGATATTGCTCTGATTCCCAGGAAAAGCCCCCAAGTACCTAAATCCACCATGAGCAGACGCCCCAGTGCAGTGTAGAACGTCGTCCGACACCTCATGTCCGTCAGGTTGGACTGATTGTTAATGCCCAGGAAGGAAAAGTGCTCACTCTGGAGAGGGAAAACAAAGGTGGGTTAAAGAGGAAGAGGCCTCCAGTGGCACCAGGGGAGGTTTGGGTTGGGTATCACAAAAAAATTCTTCATGGGAAGGGTTGTAAATCATTGGAACAGGCTGTGGTGGAGTGTCTGTCCCTGGAAGGGTTCAAACAACACGTGGATGTGGCACTTGGGGACGTGGCTGAGTGGTGACAGTGGTGGGGGTGCTGGTTGATCACTGAACTCGGTCTTAAAGGGCTTTTCCAACCTCAACAATTCAGGGAACCACCACCCTGAACAGGCTCCTGAGCCAGGGGTGAGGATCCCGACTCCAGCTGATCCCAGGCTGGGCACTGATGGGAAGCAGCAGGATCCAGGGATACCTGGAGCTGTCCCGGAGCACAGGCCACCAGAGGGCAACAGGCACTGCCTGGAACAGCAAATCCCAGCGCTGCCATCCCTCATCCTGGAATTCCCCAGCCCCAGGTGAACCAGGAAGTCTGGCTCTGCCTCTGGAGCAGAGATGGAATCCCCCCCTTTACTGCTGGGGACCCTTCAGGCTGCCTTAAAGCAGCTCTCAGAGAGCAGATTGCCCAGCTACTCTGCCCACATTCTCCATGGAAACAGCAATTCCAGGCTGAATTCAGCTTCTGGGCCGAGGGCAGGACGTGGGAATGCCTGAAAAGCTCAGGGAATGCAGCTCCTCATTCCACCAGGCACTGAAAACCCTCTGGAAGGGGCGCTGGGTGTCCAACTGCTCCAGCATTGGAGCATCACAGAAACATGGAACAGAATCATGGAATGGTTTGGGTTGGAGGGACCTTAAGGATCATCTTGTTCTACCCCCTGCCATGGGCAGGGACACCTCCCACTATCCCAGGTTGCTCCAAGCCCTGTCCAACCTGGCCTTGGACACTTCCAGGGATGGGTCTGGCCTGAGTGGAGAGCAGAGCCCTCCCACACTGAGTGCCACAAAATTCCAGCCCCTCAGAACCCAACAGAGGTGGGACACAAACCACACCTTCCACAGGCTCACCTGGTACCAGGGAGGCACCTGGGAGCCAGGAAAACTTCCACAGTGTGTCAAAGTGTCTCCCCTGGGGATTGTCTGAGCTGCACAAAGGCAGGGGGGAGAGGGAGGAGGAGGAGGGGGAAGGACTCACCGTGTGATTGTTCAGCATGAACTGCACAGCGCTCAGCTTCACCAGCTTCCTCACGCTGCTGTACGTGCAGGGGGGTTAAGGAAGCAGCAGAGAATCCTTACAAAATCCTTACAAAAGCACTCCCAGGGCAAAGCTGGAAGGGCATTGTGTCTGTGTTATTCAGTATGTTGTGGATTCTCCTCCATTTGTTTCAAGAGCAACCAAGGCCTCAATGGAGAGACCTGCAGTGATAGGTTTTGTTTACTCTGCCATAAAAAAATTTGTCTGGAGCTCGTGGAAAAGCAGAAGACAGGCTGTAAACTGGCTGTGGGTGGTCAACTCCGAAGCAATTATGATCCAAAATTTAAAAAATCTACATCCCAGCCATCCACTGCGATCCAACGAGGTGTGGGGCAAACACACCCTGCTTTTCTCACTGCCCAAAGGGTGAAGGGGTTCGGGGAGCTGTGACTCACTCCTGGGCCACTCTTCCCTCATCCCTGTGCCCCCAGCAGCTCTTCCCAAAAGGATATCCAATGGAGAGGTCGTTGAGCAGCTGCAGCGTCTTGGAGGTGATGGGCTCACACCGACCCCAGTACTTCAGGTTGGTGATGCTGCAAGAGGGAAGAGGACAGGGATGGGTCAGAGGGGGTTTGCTCGGATTCCCCTGGGCTGGGCAGCGGATTCTTGCAGTTTAAGTCACCCCAAAATGCTCAGCTCCACCCTCCACCGAGACCACAGACAGCACAAGCCACAAAAGATCGGTATAAAATCACTGTACTTACATTTGGTTGACTAGAAAATTATCCTTCAGATAATCTTCACTACTTGGGTCCCAAGCTACACTGGCCCATAGCCAGGCCCTTGGAATTCTGGGGCACTCCAGGGCTGGTTTCTGCAGCAAGGGTAAGAGAATTCTGCGGCAGTGACTACATGCAGACGTATGCAATTCTGCACCTGCACCATCCACTGTCAGCTGCAGAATTCTAGTAGCCCTTGCTTCTTCCAGGAGAGCCATTCCATCCCTTGGGAATGCTGCCCAGCCAGGGTTTGTGGGACGAGCAAGGCCCCGTGCAGGTACAAACGGGGGCGATGCTGAACGAGTGTGGGGGGAGCTTTGGGCTGCTCGGCACCAGGCACAGGGCACTGGCTGTCAGCTGCTCAGTTGGTTCCAAACGCTCCAAAGGCTGGACAAAAAGCCAGGCTGGGTCTGGAGAAGAGGCCGAATCGGGTGTTGATGGGAGTGGAAGAGTTTTTTTAAGGGAAGGATTCGGGACCGAGCGGCAAAGAAAAGCTTCGGAGGAGCCGCCGGTGCCTCCCCACAGAGCTCTCGTGGCTGCCAATCGTGGAGTGACCACAGGGGACGTGTGCTGGGAGCTGTCCCCTCCCTGCCTCTGCTTTTTACTGGGAAGAGAATCCGTTCTCCTGGCGTGTGGCTTTATTTTTGTGTCTCGGCGTGGTGGACAAACCAATCCTGGGCGCCGTGCGTGACCTCAGCCCTGAGAAAAGCCTGTAATTCCCTCGAGGAGAGCCAGATGTTCCTAGTTTTTTTTGCTGCTTTTGTTTTTTTTTTAAGGCTGACCAACACTCCCTCAACAACATTGCAGTTTTCCTGGTGCAGCAGAGCCTGGGCTCTGGGCTGCCTGGGGGGCAGCAGCACTTACATTTTCCCGATGAACACGCTCAGCACCATCGTCTCGTCGTTGAGCCCCAGCACCTCGGAGAGCCGCCGGTACAGCTGGGGAGGGAACAACACCCGGTTAAAAACCGCCAGGAAAACAAGGAATCCTCCAAGAGGAGTCGTTTTTCCCTGGGTGGAACCATGTTAGAAGGTGTTTGCTCCGGGATTTCCCAGATCTCGGCATCTGATCTCGCCCCTAATCGCTGTCTCCTCTTTCTTGGAGGTCCAGACACTGCACATAAAAGCAGGAGCACTTGGTTTTCCAAGGAAAAGGGGGCATAAAACCCATGCTCCTCCACCTCCAACTACACCCAGTACTTACTGCATTTATCTGGAACTCTTAGCAGCAGTCCCCAAGTCTCTGGGGTAGGGAAGGAAGGTTATGACCAGAAAGGAAGAGAACCCAGTTTGGAGCAATGATGTTCCCACCCTCCGTGGATTTTTTTCATTTAAAACAAGGATATCACACCTCTAAAGAGGCACCAAGGCACCAGTACACCTACAACTGCCTTGGCATGAAGAGAAGGGAGATTTATCTCCGCTTCAGAGCCAGGGAAGCAAGAGAGAGATGAAACTCCGTGGGTGTTTGAGGTGGTCAGAGGTTTTCAGGGAAAACTGAATTATGGTTTCCAGTTCTCAGCTCCCGAGAAGGAGCCAAAGCCAATGGCTCCTTCCTGACGTGGGTATTTCAAAACAGCTCAAAAATAACACTTGGGAACGAATCTAGAAATCACAGCAAATGGGACTTGCAAGAATCTCCAGCTGAAGAGAGGAGAAAATCATTAATGCCTCTGGTTTTCCTTTCAAAAAAACAGGGATTGCTGGAGTTTGGATCCCCAAGGAGCCCCAGCCAAGGGCACTGATTACCTTGGAAGACTTCTGCACCTGATCTCCGATATAGATCTTCCGGAACTGCTCGAAGAAGCTCAGCATGGCCAACTCCAGCTTCTCATTCCCAGCCTGTGCCAGGCGGGAATCCGTCAGGTTCATCAGCTGCAGCACCCTGGGAAAAGGTGGGAAAACACACCTTGCTGAGGGACACAGGGAGCAAGGAGGGATTTCTGGGATTGTGGTGCTGTTTCCAGGCCTTTTGCTTCCCGGGGGAATTGCTGTTTTGGGTTGGGAATTCACAAAACTGGTGACAAAGCAGCGCCCAGGGCAGGTTGCTCTGCGGTGTAAAGCTGTTGTGAGGCTTCTCCATCCCTGCAGGAACACCCCCCATGAGCTGGGTGGGGGGATTTGGGGGTGAAGAACACCCCTGCAGCACAACTGGGGGGGCAAACCCAAGGATATCCCTTTGGGCAAGGGCCACAAAGCAGGAAAGAAACCTAAATATTAACAGATTTCTATGGACATTTATCATCTGTGATGGCTCTAAAGGTAACTGAAATATAGATGGGGGTCTCATAATTTCCCCTTTTTAATTCATCAGCCTCATGGGAAGCCAGAGCTTGGACCTGTTGGTTTACCCACAGCTCAGCTTCCACACCTTCACACTTCAGCTCCTTCTCCTATCCTGGTTTCCAAGGGGAGCATTAAGATCTGGACCAGAAAACATTCAGTGGGACTCAAGGTTTTATCCTCACACCCACCAAATAAAGCTTGCACTGGGCCAGGATTTGCAATCCCAAAAATCCCAGCATGTTTTAGGGAACACCGTGAAGTTTTAACTTTACAACTACAACATTCACAGTTCATTTATGAACAAAAGCCACTTGGGATTACTAACCCTGAAAAAAAGACTTTTCCCTCTCCAACCCAGCAAAGAACCATCAGGCATTTAGTCAGTGATTCAACCAACGAGCCCCTTTCCCATGTTCTTCCCCTCTCAGTTTGCTCCTCACAACCCAAATCCCCCCAATTCAGCCAACGAGCGCCACCGATCCCTCCTTCCCTCTGCTAATTCCAAGGGGTCTGGAGGTGAAAGGAGGGGAAGAACACGGTGGCAGGGTCAGCAGGGTGGTTTTGGGGAGGGCTCCAGCAGCCAGAGGCGCTTCCCTACCGACAGACCAACTCTCCATCCATGGCATCCTGCTCGTCCGTGCTGGCGAACGACACCCGCCCGCCAATGACCGCCCCGATGATGTAGACGAGCCACGTCAGGCGCCCTGCAAGCAACAGAGGACATGAGAACCAGCAGAGAACCACGAGATCTGACCCTCATCTGGGCACACACGGGGTATCTTTCTGCTTTGGGGGCTGTCTCTCCCCACAGGACTCGGTTATGCACCCTGTGGTGAGGAACCTCTTCTGACGGCCCCTGGAGTTGATCCAGGTCTTTGATGGATGTGCAGTGCCAAGGAAAAAGGCTCTGCTGTCGTGTTTATGCAATAGAACTTTCCATCTTAATGCTTTCATTGCTATTTTGTGGTGCCCCTGGATCCCTGGAAGTGTCCAAGGCCAGGGTGGAGCAACCTGGGCTAGAGGAAGGTGTCCCTGCCCATGGCAGGGGGGGGCTGGATGGGCTTTAAGGTCCTTTCCAACCCCAAACCATTCCAGGATTTACTAAAAGAGAAAAAAAGAATGCCAGGTCTCCCTGGAAGATTGTCCTTACTCAGAGCTTTTCCACTGCAAAAGGAGTTTTTCCTTGTAAAAGGAGGTTTTGTGCACTTTAACGTGCCAGCAAGTGTTTATTCCTTCAAGGGATGTGGAGAAGTCAACTTAGATGGGAGTTTTCCCCACAAATAAAGCCAAAAGAAAATAAGGAATAACTGTGTTAAACCAGAAGGAAAAGCAACAATTCCCATACCTGTGCTGATGCACCCAACTCCTCCAGGGACAGGGAAGCAGATCCAGTGTTAGAGAGGGGAATACTCCCTGAGCCCCCAGAGGAGCTGCTGTGCTCTGGCCTGTGTTAAACAACTCCTGACCCCCCACGCTGAGCCCACCCCGGGCTGTGCACACAAACCACTTCAGGCAGTGGCACCAGGTGAAAATCCCACTGCCAGTCACTCTTTACCAACAACCAGCTGGAGGTTTCTGCCCCACAGCCAACGAGGAGGGTCAAAGGAGCACCCACATCCCCCCTCAGGGAAAACAGGGATGGCAGTGCTGGAGGGGGAACACCCTCGTGACTTGTCTCTGAAGGAACAGGCAAGGAAATACGTTATATTTCCCCCTAAAACCAGGAATGGAGTCAGTTATAGGACAGCACTGTCGCCAGCCAGTGAAGAGGGTCAAAGGAGCAGCCACATCCCAGCTCAGGGAAAACAGGGATGGCAGTGCTGGATGGGGAACACCCTTGTGACTTGTCTCTGAAAGAACAGGCAAGGAAATGTGTTATATTTCCCCCAAAAAGTCAAAATTGGGTCAGCTGTTGGCCAGCACCGTGAGGAGGGTCAAAGCAGCACCCACATCCCAGCTCAGGTAAAGAGGGACGAGCTGGGCAGTGCTGGGTGGGGAACACCCTCGTGGCTCTGACAGAACAGGCAAGGAAACACATTGTATTTCCCCCAAACATAAGGATGGGGTCAGTTCTAGGACAGCCCCCTCTCCAGCAGGAACACTGGGTGTCCAAACCATCCTGCTCCTTGTGGCAGCGCGGGGGAGACGATCCTCCCAAACCGGGCGGGTTCTCCCGGGAACCACAGAATCAGCTGGGTTGGAAGGGACCTCCGAGATCATCCAGTCCAACCCTTGATCCA